ACTTTTTTTACCCAGTGCCTTCCTGTAGGGAGTGAATTTACTTCATCTAATTGGTAAAAAAGGATTTAATGAGAGTAGTTACTTATGTTTGTTGATACTGCAGGGTCAATATTTCTTCACTTGTGCCAAGTGGTTTGAGGCGCTGATGAAGATTATCTGTGACTTTTTTATGCCGCAGTGTGAATTCAAGAAACACCATTACAAACACCTGTAAAATTATTTGCTCCAGCACTCCCTGGATTTTTTCTTTAATTTCTGATTATGGAAAAATTACTGAGAAAATATTTTCTCGACTTTATTGACGACAAATTTATAATCGATTAATATTCATCGGGGTAATTGTTACGAAACACCTTTGCACATGTGTACCACCGTAACCCGTAAACTTGTCATGTGCATGAAGCTGGGTATAACGTTACCCTGGAACCATGCACAGCTCAACCTCTGTGGTGATGTACAACTTGTGCAGCGGAACAGAAATCGCAAGTACATATATCTTAGTGGAGCTTCCCGTCCGACGTTATAAATCCTTCTTGGGCTCGTCCGATATTTTCCCTCCTTTCGTGCGCGTCGTTGGAGACTCGGTGCAGATCGCGACGATTCTATTTCACGAGGATAGAAGAAACCAACGGTGAAAAACGAGGATATGACTGGCCGGAGAATACACCCTGAAAGGAGTAAATAACCCACAAGGTTAAGAGGGAAAAAAGCTTGAAAATAGAGGGGATATTATTTCAGAGGTGTATAATGTATTACAGCGACACAGAGATCACCATTTGTCTTCCTGCTCCGGAAAAATGCCGGTGAAATGGTGAATATCAATTGTCGAAGGCACTTGATAAATATTATAGTGCATATTACAGCGTTTTTCTCAGTCTAGACTGAGTTGTTTGAAAAATAATAAATTGTACAGTTTAAAACTGCCACAAATTCTCGAGAATGGTAATTTTTGGAAAATTTTCATGAGCTGATAACGCAAAACTGTTCAGTTCTGTATGACGCGTATGAGGGGCAATATCGATAATTTGTGGCAGCCAAATGAAAGTGCCGTGAAATGTTGTTGAAATCATGTTAATGGAGAATTTCGCGAGTTCAGCAGAATTATTCGACGTTCAGCCCTACATGGTGGAGGTCGGAAATTATTTAATACAAAATGTACCATACGCTTAACAACTCCGAATTTAATGACTGCGCCATTAACCTACGGGCCGTATCCGTTTATGGATCGTTTACATTTAGTTGCACTCATTTTCAGTGACGAGAAAATTGAAATCAAAACTATTAAAACAGTTTGTTACATTCTGAGAATATACGGGGAATATTTTCGAATATTTTAATAGCGTTTTATTTTTTACTAATATTATCACTATTATTTACCCTAAAAATTCAGGCGTCTATTCAATATGGGATTTGAAATAGCCGCAAAAAATAAATCCTATCGGGTTCGGGCGTTGGGACGAGATAAAATTGTTTTTTCAGTTGAGCTCCAGAAAAATCGGTAGAACGAAATGCAGCATTGAGAGTTGCGTTTCGCTTAACTGAATTAAACCGAGGATGGAGCCATTCGGTTCGCTGATTTCTCGGTTAATCGATTGTATTGAATGGCCGATGGGATACCGATTAACAGACACGTATGCGGCGAGAGTCCGATCCGTTCGCACCTGTTCGGTGCTGAAGGATTCCTATTTTTATGGTTGAATCATTAGGGATCAATCAGATTCTCATGCGATTTAATGACTATCACCATGCCATTTTTCCAGCCCAACAAATAATTAATTGGCAGTGTAACGTAATCCCGTGGAAATATTTCATTCTTTAAAAAAAAAATTACCAATTCGACTCCCAGGCCAACATTACTCACCCTTTAATGAAGCCCGTCAATGCGCAATAATTATCGAATCGTTGTAATATTAATCGAAGACTCCAATCAGTCTCACTAAAAATACTACTCTAGTGGAGACTAATGGAAGCCCTGGTTTCATCCGGTTAATTTAATGCATTTGTGATTGTCAATCCCATCGTTCCCCCGACGCCCAGAATTATTCTTGAGATACGAACAATGTTCTCATCACAAGTGATCTAAGCCCCAATTCCGTCAATCCATCTTCCCGTAAATGGAATATATTCCCGGAGGCTAGCTATATTGATAACCAATTAACCCCCAAAAATACAGTCCCTACCGAAATCACAATCTTCAACAATTCAGTATCCCACGCTTGCCCTCAACCCTATTCCAAGGAAATCCTTGGATATTTAACGAATGAGCCCACGAATATCGTTCTGTGACGTTGAGACCGATTGCTTCCCAAGATAACTCATGAAAATCCCATGCGCTGTAAAAACCTCAGAATCTCCGACGAGTGATAAACCCACCGATCCAGTGAATTTCCCATGGCAAATATCTCCCCGTTCTCCCTAAACATCCCTGAACAACTCTGAATACGGGTGGAAGCTCAACTCCGAGGCTTGTTACAAAATTCTTAACAATTCATCGGGAATCCCCCTAAAACACCACCGATAAATCATGACCAGCTCGGCTGTTATTGGCTCCCTGATTGCCGAGGTATGGACCACCTCCATAGTGACAATGGCTATCCACGAATTCACGTCGATATTCCCGACTTAATAGCTCCCCTATACAAATTTGAACGAGTTTTGGGCAATGCGCCAAGACTAAACGACTAATCTCCACGTAGAGATTGAGTGACAATGAGGCCAACTTAAAAGTACCTAGGGTACATGAGAGGTGAGGTGGAGATAGTTGGGTACAGGTTTATACCCATCGGGACAGAATGTCACGGGGGATTAAGATTTAGGTAGGGCTTCGTTAATCCTCAGTGCGGAAACTATATTGAGAGTCTGCCTCGAGGAAAAGCTCGGGCTAGAGCAGCCACACAATTGTTGCCATTTCACTATTACCCTCATCCCTTCCTCATCCCTTCCTCATCCCTTCCCCATTCCCTCCCTCATTTCTCTTCTTTTATGTCGGTTGGCCAGTGGAGAGTAAGAGTTTTGGTCAGCCCAAAGTTGCATACCCGAGGATAGGCTTTACCAGGGGGTAGGAAAAAAGTGGAAGAGGGTTAGAGGGACATTTTAGGGTTGAATTGCATGTACCCAGGCGATGGGGAACTGTGGAGGTATGCAATGCCAGGACCGTTGGAAATTTCACAAGAGTCGGGAAAATTTCGAGAGGCAACCGCAGCACGTATATATGGGCTTCATAAAGTCCCTTTGTCGGTTGGGGGCTTTCATTATTTGAACCCCTCGACTGTCCACTGGAGGGCGCTCTCCACCACGTCCTTTCCCCCGGGTGAATCCTTTTCCCGTGAACTTTCTCCTCTCTGTCCTCGCTTTTCTCTCACCGTATGCTCTGCAAGTGGGAAAATATCTGGAGAATATGCCGGAGAGGATGCGAGAGGTGAAAAATAAAAGCCGGCCGGAAAAGAGCTAGACTTATTGCGTTTGCTTTTCGGGGAAATATAGTGCGTTGAGAGTTAACCCTAGCTCGGGTGATTCACGTTCGTCTGAATAACGCCCTCGGGTGATGTAGACGGGATTTATCCGAGTTGGAAAAACAAAAACCGTTGTGTATTGGACTGAGGGGAAAAACGCTAGAAAAAAATATAAGTCAAGTGTCGCTCAGAAAGGGGCTTTCACTCTGGGCTTCGGTGCGCCATTAACACGCGTGTTTATTGCTCTCCATTAAAAAAAAAAAAAGTCCAACCTCGTTCGCTTGCGGAGAAGAATTTTCTAGAAAAATTCGCACACTGGCTTACAATTTTTTTCTGGATTTATAAAGAATTTTTATAGACTTTTTCAGTTTTTATTTTAGTCCTGCACTCAAATTTGACCAGAAAATTTATCTCAGTGCCGACATGCGCCTCGTTTAAAATTTTTTTTTTATTTGAAGGCCCCATGGGCACGTCAATCCCAAATGGAATTCAGGAATTGCGTATTTTACGATTTATATCCAATTTTCTAGAAATTATCCACAGATTGGCGTTCCAGGTCAGGATTTCGTAATTATTCCAAAAGCAAAAAAAACACATATAGAAAATAAAAATAAAAAAATCGATAAAAGGTGAGTGCAGGAGATTATGATTGTGATAATGGGCTATAGAAAAACAATGTAGAAAGGATGAATGGAGCCGTTGCACTTACGGGAAGACAGTCAACATTTGCACAAAGAGGTCCGGGTACACAGTGGAGTGGCCCGCGGCTCATCGTCGTCCGGCGATTTTCCCGGAAATTACAGTTTCGAACGACGTTGCTTGAGAATAGCCCCGAGGCAGTTGAGTCATTGGACATTGGACTAGGCGGATAACGTTCACCGCTTTGGCTTCCGGTAGACCTCCTCCACCCATCACACCCACACACACAACTCCTTCATTCAGCACCTAGCCAAGCAGTACACCCAATAACTACTACAGTCCCCGTATTTTATCCCAAAATTCTCCACCAACATGTACACACTGAACTTGTGATGGCAAAGCGTGACGTTCTCTCGGTGAAATCAAACACTGTCAAGTCGGCCACGCACTGCGGTTTAGCTTAAATAAACTTTGTTTAGCGACCCGGAGGCAATCGTTGGAGTCCCCTGGCTTTTACCAACCGAAACGAAGCCCTTCTCCATCCCCACCGCATCCTCTCCTCCAATAACATTGTCGGAGAATCATTCTACTCCAACTAATGGCAGACTCCTAATTGCCCGTGAAAATTTCAATCCAGTGGCAGTACTGGGGAAATAGTCGTTTATCTGGACATTACAGTGCTAGAAATTACGTATGTGTACATGGGAGTGCGGTGAAGTAGTGGCTACAGTGCGCTTCAAACCGCATTCAACGAGCGAAGAACCATCAAATTGTCTAATTACCGTAGTTTGTTCAATATATAGGGAGTTGTTGCCTCGTTGTCATGGTTACAGCAAACACGTACTTATTGAGCACCAACTGCACTGACTTGGAGGCATTCACTCATTCTCCGCTAGTTGCCACTGTCAGGGAATAGGGAAAACCCTCTCGGGGTGGGGAATAAAACAATTTTCCTGGGGATTTACTCGTCACTGGGTAGAGGAGATCTCATTAAATATTCGAGTGATGAGTGTGTTGCCAATATCTTCGCCAATTTCACGTCCAGCTAATAATCGGATTGGAGCTCAGGATGTTGTTGGCACTGCTAATGCCGCCATTGGGTACAGACTGCACGAGCGAACTCGTCATAAGCTCCACCGGAGTAACAAGTGCAGAGGAGAATACGTTCAAGTGCAGCAGCAGCCGGGGAAAATCGAGGAACGTCTCATTCAGCATCAATATAGCGAGGGTGATGATTCTGGTCGAGCTTTGGAGACTGGGAGGAGCTTTTTGCCGAGGATCAACAACAGTTCAATTATTCCTATGAACGATAAACGAGCCGGCGACGAGGTCTTGCGAATTGAGGAGAGAGAACTACAAAACTTTATCAATATGCGGGAGTTTGAGGAGAGAACTGATAAGATCATTGCCCTCAACAGAGTCCGAGAGTTTATTGAACAAGGTATTTTATTTAATTTCCACGATTTTTATTACTTGCCCCGTTATTTTCCAAGTCACTGAAACATAAAGCTAATTGTTTTCACATTAAATTTTTGTGTAAAAAAATGTCAGTTGTTGATGGTGATATTACAGTGTGTCAGAGCACTTGCTGTTCAGGTGAATTTGAATCCCTTGACAATGGGTTAATCTTATCAACGTTAATGTTAAAATTATCAGTGAGTGAAACTTTGTAGTTTTCAATTGAAGTATCACGTCCTACATAATTTCCAGTGCGCTGAACTTGTTAAGGTAGAAATTAGGTGAAATATGAGGTAATAAACGCTGTACAATGTGCAGCAGTTAAACTCAACTGCTGTTGGGTGATAAATCATGTAAACTCCCATCGTAGCGGCACAAGTACAGATTAGATTACATTCACGTGAGTGACCCTTCATTGTTTTCATGCTACCAAAGGTATGATGGCACACGAGGAAGACATCAATATACGACGTGAGAAGCTACGACACATGTTGGAGAAGGAGGACAGTGAATTGATGCGAGAAGTCGTGAATCAGGTACACAGTTGTGAGAATGCCAGGCGAGAGGAAATAAGAATTCGTGCTGAGGGGAAGAAACGAGAGGAGGAGGAGAATCGAAGGATGCTGATAACGAGCAAACGGAGACAGCAGTATTTGGAAAATTGTCCAGAGACCCGAGAAAGAATTTCTCGGGATATAGCGCGGGGTGTAAAGTATTCCAACTTGATTCAGATGTTGGAGAAGGAGACGCTGAGGCAGGAGGAAAGAGAGCTTGACGAGCTGTGGTATCAGATAATGCTGAGAGAGAGTGAGAATCTGAAGAGGCATGATGAAGAGGTGATGAGAAAACGAATTATGGTGGGTAAAACGACTGGATTAATTTTGGAGCAGCAGATAGCTGTGAGGTCATCATCGAGCGGTCAAGTGCAGAGATTACGGGAACAAGAGAAACTTGAATTGGAAGGTTTGTGGGACGAGGTGAGGGCTGAAGAAGTACGTAACTTGGCGCATGAGAGGGGAAAGCGTGAGAGGCTTAAGGGTGAGTTGGAGGAGCAGCTGATGGTGGCTAGGAGGCGTATGGCGGAGCAAAGTCGTCAGCAGGCCGAGGTCGAGAGGTTGCTCAAGGTCGCCAATGAAGAGGAGCTGAGGAAGGAGAAGGAGGAGATTGCAAAGAATACCGAGTATTTGAGAAAGGAGATGATGGCGTATATGAGGAGTCTCGAGGACTTGCGGGCGGTGGAGATGAGGAGGGAGGCGGAAGTTAATGCAATTATTGAGGAATCAGCTAGGGATGCTGGGGCGAGACGTGATCTTGCATCGAAGCGGTACAAGGAGGGGCGCAAACGTATTTTGGAAAATTTTATGGTTGAGAGGGATGAGCAAATGCGGTTGAAGAGAGAGTATGCAGAGGGGGAGAGGAGACGACTGGAGGAGGAGAGGCATTTGTGCAAGAGGGAGGCTGAGGTTGGTGCAGCTTATGGTCATGCTGAGGCCATGAGGAGACGGGAAATGGCGTTGCACTATGGCCAGGAGTTGCAAGCTCAGCGACAGTACGATGAGGAGAAGAAACGCCGGGAGGTGGATAGAGACAGAGTGGTGTACCGTGATGCACTGAGAGAGAATGAAGAGTACATGAAACTCACCGAAGAAATGGTTAATGCACCAGAAATCATTGCACCGAGCGCATTCAAAATTATGCTGAAAGAATACATGGCTCGACGTGACGCACAACAAAAAATCCTTTGTGGCCACCGTCCTGTTTCTCTATCCTCTGCACCTCCTCTCCAGCACTAATTTACACCAGTCGGTTGTATTTGCTTGTTTGTTTCACTTGGGAGTCATAAATCAACATGCACGTTGGAACTGTTTGGTTTTTCTTTTTCTCCTCATTTTCCATTGTTAGCGCTTTCAAAAGCACACGACACGCCGTTTTTTTTCTTTCAGAGCTTCATAATACCCCTGAGGCGTAATAAATAGACATTTGAGTGATTCTGATTTGAGCCTTGGTTGCTCACTCGAGCCCGAAAAAAAGGGAAATACGAAGAAAGAGAGGAGTATGCCAACTACGTCTGCTGTGATTTTTTATTTATATTTTCTCCAGTTTTATGACTTTCTCGTCGCTGCGTTTTTTTTTCTGCTTTCTTTTTTTTGTTCAACGTGAATATGAATTTTTCACGATGAGAATACTCGCCGGCAGCACATCGGAGACGTGAAACAGTGGAAAACGAGGAATCTGGAATATCGAGCGACTTTTCACAGAATAAATTTTACATTTGTACATTATACATTTTATCCTGCTTCACTCTCGTTCATATGCTCCATGTATCACTCTTATCCATGTACAACGCACAATATACGTGTCAGAGAGTGCTGCCTTAATATCCATCTCAGGTCCTCTTTCCACTTGTCATTCTGGACCAACAAATGCCACGTGGTGTTGCTTTTTTTTATTACTTTGGTGCAACACTGTCACCGTCCATTCATGGAATTGTTTCACGTTTTTCGGTGTCCTGGTAACTATGGTATTTCAGTCATACGTCCAATAATTCGGAATACTTTTCTTAGTTAATTCGAAAAATTTTATCCAATTTCCCTCGGTCTATTATTATCCCCCACCATGTATCATTATTGTATTCTTTAAATTATTCACAAATCACTCTAATAAATGTCTCATTATTAAATTGGCGAGTATTCGTGTGACGAATTCACGCAGAAAACTGGATAACTAATTCGTACGTGGCCGGTCTCGGAGGAGAATCCTCCGGATAATACATAATAATGTCAATAGACCCTGAATGGCCTCTCATATCTCCGAGAGTCGAGGGACCTTTCTCCCCTTTCATCCCCTCACTAAAATTCACCGCAGCCCTCGTATCACTCCCCTCTCTTTTCACAATTCGACTGATGTTTCATAACTACACGTGCATGAAAGGAACGAATGGAAAACTCTTGGCGAGGAAAGCCCTTCCCCTCATCCTCGTAAAGCCACCAGGGAGAACCCACCGTCTGATATCTGGAATTCCCACTGGTGATGGTTATGATCATGCCGCTGGTGAAATTGTATGTCTCACTGTAGACAGGTTAATTTTATGAAAGAGTGAGGATGTGTACAGGCATGTACCTAGCTTCATGTATAGTAAACGACTTCTCACCCTTTCTCATATTCTCCCTTTATTCCACCGCGAACCGTTCCATTCTCTTGTCCTTTTCTCTCTCCGTTCCACTGGCGACGAATGCCCAATTTTCCTCAGCAATGTGTGTTAGTTTCAAGCCCTGTACATAGCACCACGAGTCTGCTCTACATCAACTAACAGGACATTGCCGGTTGGTGCACGCCCAAGGTACAACTCACCCCCTTCAACAACCCTCAACCCGCCACACTTTATTTTAATATTTCAACGCTGTACCAAGCCCAACATCTACCTGAGTCTGGGGGGTACTCTCAGTCTTCCTCTTCTTGTCTTCTGTTTCCACCTTTTCTTGGATAACTTTGTGGATTCAAACTCTCGCATTTCTGACTAGTGCAGGTGATGCTCCGCATGCTACTGTGGCTTCTTCATGCTTGATACTGTATTTCTCATTTCGGTGGTAATCCTGTTGGATGAGTGTTGGAGAGTGCTCCCTCATGCTTTTCAAAATCATGATTAATTCAGATTCTCCGAGTGATGAGGCAAGTTTCACAGGAATCATTCAATTAATTGTTATCGTACTGTTTTCCATTTTGTGCGCAGTGGCATGGGTCCTTTTATCTCTAGCATTCAATTCTATAAAACTTGAAATAGATTCTGTGTGCTTTGCATATTTTTCGATAGCCATAAAAATTATTAAATGGAACGCATTGTCATGTCCACCGGTCGAATGAATTCCCCCACAATTATCCAACCGAGAAAGTGACATTGAGGATGAAGTAATTCAGCGAAAATCTGACCGTCAATTACTCCAGCATTCCGCGTACTCCCTCCCTCAAGAAAAACCGCGTCCAACTAATGAAATAATGACAAAGATATTCCAATTACATTAATTAAATATAAATTTTTTGCCGTCGGAAGGGATCACTCGACATACCAGAGAGTCCTTCGTTCCGGCAACGCCCGTTTCTCCAGTCCACCTCGTCTCTTATACTCGTCATCCAAGTTTTTATTGTCCTGTCCTCATGTCTCTCTCCCGGACCACAAGATTCCCCGGAATTTTTTATAACTCCCAACCAGGGAGCCATTGGAACATTTCGTTCTTATATATCCAGACCAGCATCTAATTGCCTCCGGGTGTAATTTCTACCGACGTATTCCAGGTCTCCTGACCGGGGACTCTCATCACACCTGCCCAAGTTAAAGTTTAGAAACATTTTCACACCTCTTCCCCCCGTACTTTCCACCATACATACCCTACATGCCATGAATAACTTAATTTTAATTGCATTAATTAAATTTGAGGGATTAACTCGGTGGAATTCATCACCTGAAGTTGGCACAATTATTAAACTGATCAGTCTAAGGTTTGCGCCAGTAATATTGCGAGGCCTTTGAACTGTCTGGTATGTGAGATTCCGACGGTTGGAAGGGGTTGATGGGTCGAGGGTAAGTTTCCACTAATCCCAAGAATTTCTAGTTGAGAAACACTGAAGAATAGTCGGGGAGTTAAAGTTCTTCCAATATCCAACGTCTCGGGAGTTCTCAGTATCGCGTACCAAAAAAGATTCGACATACGCGGGGCCAGAGATAAGACACGCGCCAATCCCTACACGTATCCAGGCCACTTTTCCCCAAGTTTAGTTGCTCTGGGGTTAAGAAACAACGGAGTCGTGCTAGTGTCACAGTTTTGTACTGAATTTCAAGATTTATGTTATTTCTTTTGAAAGTGTTTTTTGGGGTTGTTGTGGGGGAGAGGCCACAGAGTGGATTTATTTTTGAAGCAGTCGGGGGGATTATCAATCAACTGGCAAGTGGAGTTGTTTTATTCGGTGAAGTCTAGGGCGGGGATGGAATGCCACGTCATTCGAAAATTATGCAGTTGTGATGGATATTGCTGTTGGCGAAAATTTTTCATTTTATGGACAGTTGATTAGTTATTTTCGGGAAACGGACATCAAAATCACATTCTGTGCCTGTTATTCCAATTTTTTTATTGAGTGAAAATTTCAGTGAATTTTTACCTCAATTTCGATGTTAAATTCTACGGTCGGAAAATTCCTACACTGATAGAGTAACTAAAATTATGGAGAGGGAGATACTAACTCCTTATTAGAGAGTAGATTGGACAATTTTATTGAACAAAATTCAAGTTCTCCGATGAAAAATTCGGAATTGATCTTACTCGTCAATGATTACTTCGAGTGCTCATAAAATGATGAATTTTATTTTCCAATAAGAAGAAGAGTCACCTAAAAATGTCCCATCCAATTTTCCAATTACATCAGTGCACCTCATAAAAAAAAGCCAAGCACCAAGGCAATTTTAAATGAAGATCCACATTCTCAATGTAAGAATTTCCTCTCCAGTGCTGTCATTTCGCTTCTCGGTCGAGCCAATTTCTTTTTTCCACCTATGTACGTAATACCAGATTCGCCGGCATGTATCCCATGAGGATGCCAGAGAGCTAGCTATCACGAGAAAGCATGACACGTGAAATTCAACGACCAGGGAGGAGCAGTGAACACTCTCGGATACTCGAAATAACAAATTTATGTGCCACCACTGAGGAAACATTAAATGATCATTGAATTGAATATCAGATAGTCCCTAATGGCCATGTGGAATTCGATTACTGACCTGAAACTGGCTGGATATGATATCAATGTTATATGATGCCTAAATTGGCTCATTTATCAGGCTTCAGGTGAACAACCCACAATGATACATTCGGGAGGCCGATGTGAGGCTGATAAATAAACATCATTTCACCATTGGATGTTATAATCTATTCCATCGCGAACGGTATCTCATTTTTCCCTGGATATCCCAACGCTGAGGGATGCTCAGGATGTGGTGTGGGGGGAAAACGCGTGATTAAAGAGAAATGCGATGAATTAGGAGGTGAAAAATTACGTGGTGCCAGCGGAGGTAGACGTGCTTATTATTTCTCTCGATTTAAACGGTGGATAGGGGGCGGTATAACTACACAGGTTGGAATAAAGGCGTGCAGGGCTTTCAGTCTGTCAGTTGCAACATGATAACGCACGAGTTCACAGCTTTTACACGTCGGGCTTTTTTCTCCGGCAAATCGCTTCACGTTCTATAGGTTGGCATTTTTATTTCCAGGAATTTGAACGTTTTTAGAGGATTGACGATCAAATTTTTTCGGTTGAAGCTCCCCATTCTCTGATAAATCATCCTCTCGTATTACTTATTATAATTAAGTTCTTGCAAGTCAAGAACTTCATGCAGAATTACCGCTAAGGTGAAATCATAAAGGAAAATTACAACCGACAATTTAAAAATGGTTTTGATACGGAAAGTGGCTCAACAAAATTTTCATCCCATTCGGAATATCGAACCAGTGTCTTCCAGTCGATTATCTTTCGTCATATGTTACCAGGAAAATAAATTCCAGTCAATTGTATTTTTGATCTCATCATTTTACGCTTTTACATGTGGCAACGGGCAATAAGCAATGGATTTTTTTGCAATAAACTTTTTTGCAAGCATGACATATCGGAGAAACATATGGAGATCCTTCTTTCAATAACTCATGACTCTAAGAACGATGTAAGCTCCCTATTCTTTATAAACAGAATTTTTTCAGGTATCGCGCATATGTTATGGAGCGAAAGAACTCCCTATGTATCTTTTCATTTACATTTATCGCCGGAAAAGTGATTTTTTTTTCC